CTTGGTAACCTAAGCAAGTTATCCGGTAACGGGGTCTATGTTTCTCAGAGCCAAAAAGGTCTGTAGCTTGTGATCGAAGTCAATGGCTCTAAACTGAGGCTCCTTGTACTTCCGGGTCATCTTGGCACTCAGGTATGTTATGAGTTCACATCTTTCCAAAAACTTCTCCATCTTCTTCTTGTATTTTTTTCTTGAATATTCAGAACCTTTCGGATTAAAGGCTGTAGAAAATGTCACCAAGTTATGAATGCTTTCTGATAAGGTGGTTAGTAAGCCATTCAACAAGGCAGAACTTTGTGTGTAAGTAGGCCACCTAGCTAAGGGGAAGATGGTCCCATCTTGGGTAAGGTTAGAGGGCCACTATCTTAGACCGTAATTTTCTGTGTTCACCTTTCTTATGGCATGGATTTTTGAGTGTTGACTATTATTACCCTGATTTTATTATATTATTAATTCTGTGGTGCTTGGGGTTGAACTTAGGGTCTCACATACACTAAGCAAGTGCTCTGCCACTATGCCCACACCTCTGCATTTTTTTTTTTTTTGAGATAAGGCCTCACTGTGTAGCCCTGGCTGTGTAGACCAGGCTGGCCTTGAACTCACAGAGATCTGCCTGCCTCTGCCTCCCGAGTCCTGGGATTAAAGGTATGTGCCACCGTGCCTAGTTTAAACTTGTTTTTGTGGCAGGGTCTTCCTAAGTGGCCAAGGCTGTAGTGGAGCTCACTCCATAACCTAGGCAGGCTTTGATCCTGGAATCCTCCTCAGCGGCCTGCGCAGCTGGGATTTTACGGGCCTGTGCTACCAGGTGCAGTTTATAGTGCTTGACTTAAAAAGTGGCAATTTCAGTTCGATATTTTCATTTTCACCTGTGTTTCATCTGCCCCTTCCTGTACAAGGAAATAATAACCAGCCCAGTCTGCCAGTCATGGGCCAAGTGCTGAGCGCCTCTGAGTGGTGGTCCTTTAGAAAGCTTACCTTTGAGATGAAATCCTACGTAGAGGAGGACAGACCGCCTCACGCTTAGGAAGGGGAACTTGGGCTTCAGGCATCCCGCTGCATTCAAGGCTTTGATTAGGGAAGTTGCTGTACCCTGAGGGAGGGAACAGTTGAAGTCAGTGCATAGTTGAGTACCCATTTTTAATACAGATCAATAAAGGGCTGATTCTTTTCATCACATAGCCTTTCCTGGGATGGGATGCTTAGGTGGCCATCCAGCCAACAGGAAAGAAACACAAACTACACTGGCAGAGGGGAAATGAAATATAAGCTGGCGTGATGCCAGCCGGGTGATGCCAGCTGGGGGAGGGCTGCATGCCTGGGCTTCAGTGCATGATGGCCTCTGTTCATATGGCTGACATTTTCTGCAACATAGAGTTAGAAAGAAAAGATGGGGACGCGGAGCTCTGAGTGGCCTTGGCTCATCTCTGCTTGTGTTGTCGCACAGGCAGCCTGCCTCCCACTCTGTCTGCATCCTTGGCCACATGACAAGGAATCCAGAGACCACAATGTCACTGCAGCCAAATTCCTAGAGCTGTGAAGGTGAAAGAGGCCTCCTAATAAAACAGGCCTGTGACAAGACTCCTCCCCAGTGGTCCTCCCTGGCATGTGTAAAACAGGCCTGTGACAAGACTCCTCCCTGGTGGTCCTCCCTGTCATGATGGCATTATGCCAGATGGAAGCCAGCTTTCTCCCCATCTCTCCTTTTGTTTTTTCTCTCAGATTTTTATTTTTCAGGCAGTCTTGCTATGCAGCTCAAATAGCTACCATTGCAAGCTAACTTTCTAGGCAAACTGAAAACCAAAACAAAACAAAGTGTTTAAGAAGTTGTAATAAACCTGTAAAATTGTGGTTTTGACATTTATCTTGAAGAACTAAAAAGCAATAATAACTCCAGGAGACTAGTGAGGGGCTCAGTAAGTAAAGGTGTCTGCCAGACTGGTGACCTGAGTCTGACCCTAGAAACACATGGAAAATTGGGAGGAGAGAGCCAACTCTGTAGAGCTGTCACCTGGCCTCTACAAACACACACCATGACACATGTCCCCTCCCGTCATGGTGCACGCACACCCATGCACAAATAATAATTTCAAAATTAAATTACTTTGAAACAGAAATTGACTAGGGACAAATGTTACTATATTAAAAAATAATTATATAATTATATCTGGATGAACCAAATGTGATTTGAGTAATTTCACGTGGATTTGGGATAAAACATGGGTTTTGTAGTTCACCTATCCTGGAATTCTTTTGTGGAGTAAGTTAACCTTTGGCAGCCAACGCAACATTTCAAATCACTAAAAAAGAAGGAGAAGGAAGAGAAGGAGGAAGAGGAGGAATAAAGAGGAGGAGAAATCAAACTAGGCATCCAATTTACATGTGAGTAGTTTTAAGACCGCCCATCCCCCCTCGCTGGGGTACTGCTGTTTCAGGTATTGGTTATAGGAGTTCACAGCTTTCATTTTAACAACAACCCATAAATGAAATAGTTGAAGAGTGCTTTACAACTTAAAATCGGGAAATTTTGCCTGGAACCCCAGTTCTAAAAGCAGAAGTTACTGTTGGAAGAGACCCCAGCATTCTTGTAACGTGTATGTGTATTGTAGAAAATCCCGCAACAGAACCTGTTCCAGATACCCAGGCAAAGGGAGACTGGTGAGGTGGATGGATTCCTTTAGCGGAGGAAGCTTGTGGGGGAGCTTCTGGTCCCAGTAACGCATCGGCAGCCTATGGATACAAAGCTCGTTAGACGCATGCGCACACATATCCATGCAGAGCATACAGACGCAAATGTGAGACAAGGCTCACGGCCTGCTTTACCTCCAGGAGAAAAATTATACAAGGGAGAAGACTAGGGGTTCTAGCAGCTTCTTTGATTTGATTTTCGATTTCCCTCAATCGTGTAACCCACTCCACAGCTAAGAACAACTTCGAACTCCTAATTCTGCTCCCACCTTCTGAGTGCTGGGAATGAGCCACCATGCCTGGCTCCGGGGTTCCAACCTTGATCACCTCTTTATCAGATTTCTTAATTTTCACAGCGACTATATAAAAATTTTTCATTCTTCTGAAAAATTTGAATTGTCTAAATGGCGCCTTCATTCCCGAGATGAATAAATACCCCTGTGGCCAAGGTGGAGGACACTAGGGTGGTGGCAGGAGGGGTGACCAGTGGAGAGAGGAGGGCCTAAGGGTGGGAGCTCCAACCTGCTTCGTATATTGTTTAGGATTGCTCTATTAACCTCTAAACACCGTTTCTGCCTCCACCAGTTCCTGACGCCTCATGGAAGATCGTATTCCTAAGCAAAACTGATTTTAATACTAGCCTAGCTTACAAGCCGGCAATACACGCTATGGCTCATAGGATCAAGTCTAAATGAAATGCTGTTTGGTGGTGTTGCTCAAACCTCTGTATGCTACCCTGCTGACCTCCAGCCCTGCCACATCCAGACAGGCTGACTTTCCTACAGTTCCTGGGTCTCCAGGGACAGGTTGTTTGCGGTCCATTGGCTTGGCATCTGGCCCTTCATCCCTTATTCTAGTCTATTCCTGGTCCTTACTCAGATAGTCCAATCACACCAGTGTGCTAGGCCCTTTCTCACTCTTTGGGCCAAAAGATTCCATTATTTTGGCGGGGCAGTGGTGGCACACGCCTTTAGTTCCAGCACCTGGGAGGCAGAGGCAGGCGGATCTTTGTGAGTTTGAGGCCAACCTGGTCTACAAAAGGAGTTCCAGGACAGCCAAAGATACACAGAGAAACCCTGTCTTGAAAAACCAAACCAAACCAAAACATTCTATTATTATCAGGTACTCAAAAATCTACCATTTGTTCTGGAGTTTTGTGCTTTGGGACAAAGCAGTGCTTATCCACTCTCCCTCTGTGTGTGTGTCCGTGTGTCCATGTCCGTGTCTGTGTGTCCATGTCTGCGCCTGTGTGTCCATGTCCGCGTCTATGTGTCCATGTCCGTGTCTGTGTGTCCATGTCCGCGTCTGTGTGTCCATGTCCGTGTCTGTGTGTGTGTGTCCCGGTGTCTGTGTGTCCATGTCTGCATCTGTGTGTCCATGTCTGCATCTGTGTGTCCATGTCCGTGTCTGTGTGTCCATGTCCGTGTCTGTGTGTCCCTTCCCTTTTCCTCCACAGTTCCAAGAACAGTAGATGAGGCATAGAACATGATAAATATTTACAACTGGCGAATAATCTCACCTCAAAAATTTCTGCAGTTTTTCTTCACTCTCGCAAATAAATATACGATCCCGATACTCTACGGCATATTGAATGTTACCAGGCACCAGGGCGTCATATCTGAAAAACGAAAAATGAGACAAAACAAAACAAAAAACCACGGTGTAATTGATACATGTAGCTTTGTAATTAATATCTTATCATTGATATGGAGTACTGTATAAATAAAATGCCAAAAATGTGTCATTTTTTCTGCTTCCACAGCTCAAGTAAGGACTGTTTCCCCAGGTGATCAGCATGGTAAGATTGTTTCTTTGTGAGTTGGAGAGATGGCTCAGAGGTTAAGAGCACTTGCTACTCTTGAAAAGGACAGGACTTGGGGTTCCCAGCATGTTTACCCCATGTTGAGTGACTCCCAATGCCCATAGCTCTAGTTCCAGGGGATCAGATGTTCTCTTGTGGCCTCTGTGGGCACCTGCATGCACACGGTACACACACACACACACACACACACACACACACACACACACACACGAGAATAAAAATAAATCCTTAAAAACAGTCCCATGGACCCATGGTACCGAGCAGGGGTGTGGGTCTGTCCTGCGAATATGAGGGCTTGCCTTTGCTTTCCGTCAAGGTAAGTCACTGGGCAGTAGCCTTGGAGCTCAGCACACTTGGGAAATCGACTCTTGAGCTCTGACAGGGTCAGCCTTTTGGGGAGCATGGCAGCAGGTGGGAGGGGATGAGGTGCCAAGGGAGGCACGTACAATTCTGGGTTCATCAGAAATTTCTATTAAGAAAAGAGGTACAACAGCAAGAGCATTTAAAACAGCAATAATAGACCAATCAAAATCATTTCCCATTTCAGTAGCCTTTCAAGCCATCTGAGAGAAGCTATTGTAACTTCTCCTATAAGAAGTTTTGCAGGATAACAATCCCAAGCAACCAAAGGTCTCTTCTTACATAGTATTATTTTAGTTCCTATTCTATGACAAGGACTAGGGAGTCCTTCGTCACCTGCCAGTCTACCTGTGCCCTTTAGGGTTCTCCTATGTCAACAGTTGCTCTGCAGGATGCAAAGGCACAAAATATCTGCCAGGACTTCTGTTTTGAAAATTCTGTGATTATTATGATATAATCAGGAAGAAAGAAGCACCCACAAAGTAAAGAGATTAAAGTTCTTGTTCTCTGGAGGAAAATAAAATATTCAGATTAGTTTTCATTATTGTCTTCAGTTACAAACCATTATGTTTCATTAAATCACAGGTATCAAAATATTGGAATCAATATCTGGTTAGACTTTTGAATCCATAGGTACAAGTAGTCCATTCTCCATATCCGTGGCCTGTGTAGCCTCAGATTCAGGCTGGAGGGCTTCAAGAAAAAGACTAGTTCTTTACTGAACTTGTCTGCCTTTTCCCTCACACAGTTCTCCAAACAACACAGCCTAGCAACTATTTACAAGCTTTTTACATTGCATTAGATAAGCCATCTACAAGTGTTTCCATGGATGTGGGAGGGTTTGCATAGGTTAGGTTATACGCAAATGCTACTAGCTTTGTAATTGAGCATCCATAGATGTTGGCACCCTTGGAGGGGATGTCCTGGAACCAATCCTCACAGATGCTGGGGATGACTAGTGCTGTTTTATTTACTTATTTTTTTAAGTATGGAAGACATCAATTCCATATTTGCTTCATTCCTATTGACTTTGGCTTTACTTCCTCATCTCTTGAAGCTGAATCCCCTGGTATCTTTCCGTGGGCTGAGTCCAGATGCTTCACGCTCCCCCCCGTTGGGGAGACTCAACTGTTGGCTTTCCCTGCCTGATAAGTAACCCAAGACCCACCACTGACCAAAGCATTCTAAATGAATCTGGGGCTGGGGCAGTCCAGGGCTACTCTTTGAGTTTCTCTCTGATCCCAGAGTCACAGGTTCCAATAATGGGGTTCTTGGTTCCAATTTTCTAAGTGTTCCCAAGGGTGCCTGTTCTTCTCATCAAGACAAGTAATTTTCCCTCCTTAATAAATATTTATATAAGAAACAAACTTACGTTTAGCTTTTCTTGAGAACCCATTTTATAATAGTGTCCTCTGAACTCTGCTGCAAATTCCAAGCTGTTAGTTACAGAACAATCAACTAACTCATAAGACTCTGCTAGGCTGACGGGGCAGAACTGCCCAAACTCTCCCAGACGAGAAATCAGCTCTTCAGGCGTGATACATAACTTGTCAATGCAAGCAGCTTTCCCTGTTATTAACATATTCATTATTATATATTTTCACAGGAAATATAATGGTTAAAAAGTAAAATAATCTCAGTTAGACACCACTATATTAACAGTACACAGTCTCACATTCTAAACGACAGAGTGAAAAGGAAAGTTACTATAAATGCATATGGTGGAGGAAGTCTACAATCCCAAGTTCTGGAGGCTGAGGTAGGGGGATTGCCACAAATTCTAGGCCAGCCTGGGCTACACAGAACCTTTCTCAAAACAAGTAAGCAAACTAACGAAACGAAAGTTATTCTTCATGCCTACACCCTCTCAGCCTACTACCCATTGTAAGCAGTATCCACTGTTGTGTCTATGCCTTTTTAAACATTTTTATATACATACATACGTACATACATATAAATACATATATATGTGTGTATGTCTCTTGCATATAGCATATTCATGCCATTACATGTAAACATTATTTTTGCAACTCATCAGTTGCTTGTCTTTGGCAGCTTTCTCTGTTGACTCAGTTCTGTAGATATGTTTAATCTTGGTTTGTTTTTGTGTTCAAGGAGACATGTTTTGATTCTATGTCTCCCAGGCCTTGACCTTGTGGTCATCTTACATCATTATATTAGGGCTCCCCCATGCCCGGCCACCCAGTTCCTTCGAATTTATGCATAGCAAATTCTACTACACAAACATATAAACTATAAGACTTTTAACTTATGTATATAACTAAAAGTATATATGTGGCTTACTTAAATATTTGTCTTTGTTGTGTATTTTCATTCTAGTGTTTTAGGTATTATTAATTATATACAAATAATAGTTATATATACATATTTTATATAATTTAATACTTACACATACATACATGCATTTGTATGAATGGGCACACACACACATCTATGTTCTAACAAGTATTTCTACACAATTCTGATACTAACTGCTAGTCAGTGACCATAGTCCTCTTTCAATGAGGTGGGCATTGAAGAACATTGTCTTATTGGCTGCCATCTTTCACTGACCTCCTGAAAGCAAGGAATGACCAGAGAGGCCTCGACACCCTTCCCAGAAAGGTCCTTAGACTGTACACTGCTGGAATCTAGGATTTTCCAAGTGGCAACATCTGTGGCCCGACTGAGTCAACAAAGCTGAACTGAACACCTTGGCTCTACTTCTGATCTCCACAAAACTGGATACCAGCCATGAACTGTGACCACTTCAATAGGTCCTGGTCCACTTGGAAGAGTTCAGAGTAGCAACTGGCAGCGTCTCCTAACATCTTTGTATCTTTCAGGGCTCAGAGGTTTCTGGAGTAGGGTTACTTGCCTAATACAAAGTGATGTTGTTACTTGCTACCTAATTTCCCCAATTCCTCTGTTAATTTGAACACAAGTCTGACTGTGTCACTGATTGTTTATCACTGACTGAACAGAACTCTGATTGGTTCACTGTGTCCTTATGCCATGAACATCACTGCAAGACACAGACTGGGCTGTTCAGTCACGCGTCTGGTGCTGCTGTGAATTCATGCCTGCCCTGTTGTTCATACCTTAGAAATTGTTCCCTTTGGATGTGAATATTTGTTTCTAACGAAAAGGATATACCAAAAGCACCTGCCTTTAATACCAGAACACTGGAGGTAGAGGCATGTGGATCTCTTTGTGTATTCAAGACCAGCCAGGGCTACATAGAGAGATGCTGCCTGGAAAAACAAACAAACAAACAAACAAACAAACAGATATGTCACAAAGTTAGTTTAGTTTTCTAGGCTGAACTGTGTTCTCAAAAGGTGCATTGAAGGATTCACGGCATCTTTGAATGTAGCCACTTTTGAGAACAGAGTCAGATGGACAAAGACACAGAGGAGCATGGCATGTGACAGACAAAAAGAATGACAGGCAACGACAGAGATAGGGTTGTCATGGTGGCTCTGAAGCCAACGATTGTTGGTTATGCTGGAAACAAAGAAGGCATGAAGCCGACCCTTCCATAAAGTCCTCAGAGAAAGCATGACACCGCCAACACCTTGGTTTTGAACTTCCAGCCTTGTGAATTCTGACACGATACATTTCTGTCTTTTGATCCACTCAGTTTTTCCTTGCAGCCTAGGAAAGTAAAGGCCCGGGCCTCTGTCATACTGGCAGTCTGCTTTCCCTTCCCTTTTCAAAGGCTTTGCTCCCCTACAAGACCAGACTGCCTGCTGGTGTCACCGGTGGCGAAGAGTAGGAACCCTGGCCCTCAGGAAGCCAGGGTTCGAGGCCAGCCTGAGATACACGGGCAGTAAATAAATAAACAGTTGTCCAATTGATGCTGCCATTTCAGGCATGACTGAGGAGAGAGTCCTAGGGTCATGGAAGCTTCCACCAAGATTTCAGAAGAGGGCTTGGAGGCCAAGCAGTGTGTGGTGAACTCAATCAACATCTCTCCAGATGGCTCCTGAGACTGTGTTGCTTCAAGTTGAGATGGCGGGGGGGGGGGGGGGGGGGGGG